AGTTCACAAATCCGGCTAGGGCGGTTACAAAGGTGGCGTGTAAGAGCTCACATGTAAGCTGCGACTTACGGTGAGCTGTGACTCACCGTGCGGTGTTGGCGACTCGACGGGGCTGGTGACGGGCATGGTGCTGAGCTGAGAGTAGCTGAGGGTGCTGGTCGTCTCGCCCTGCAGTCGGGCCGCGATGAAGAAGGCCGTGAAGCTGGGCGAGCCCACGCGATAGTCGGGGGCCGCGCCGAAGAAGGTGCCGCGAGACCGTGACACGGGCTCACAGAGCCGCACCAGCCGCTCACACAGCACGTACACCAGCTGTGGACAGCAGCACATGCACTGAGGCGGGCTCATAGAGCCGCACCAGCCGCTCATACAGCACGTGCACCAGCTGTGGACAGCACCAGGCGCACTGAGACGGGCTCACAGAGCTACACGAGCGGCTCACACAGCACGCACATCAGATGTGGACAGCACCAGGTGCACTGAGGCGTGCACACAGTCGCACCAGCCGCTCACACAGCACGTACAGGAGCTGTGGACAGCGCTAGGTGCAATGAGACGGGTTCACAGAGCCACACCAGCTGCTTACACAGCACGAACACCAGCTGTGGACAGCACTAGGTGCAATGAGACGGGTTCACAGAGCCACACCAGCTGCTTACACAGCACGAACACCAGCTGCGGACAGCACTAGGTGCAATGAGACTGGTTAACAGAGCCACACCAGCTGCTTACGCAGCACGAACACCAGCTGCGGATAGCACGAGCCGCACTGAAACGGGCTAACAGAACCGCACCAGCCGTTCACACAGCACGTACACGAGCTGTGGACAGCACTAGGTGCGATGGGGCAGGTTCACAGAGCCACACCAGCTGCTTACACAGCGCGCACACCAACTGTGGGCACATGCGGGGGGCCTTACCTTCGGTATGTGCCGCAAGACCCGAGCCTCGTATCCGTGGAGCACATGGCGCTGTCTGCTGAGGCACTGCGCCAGGGTGAACTCGTTGTGCGCATGCTTTTTGTCCTTCTCCTTCACCAGCTCCCTGCAGGCATACGTCGTGTTGCGAACACTCGGAATAAGACACGGTTAAGAGGGACAAGCGATTCGCCAAGCTCAGGTATGCAGTCCAGGTATGCAGGCATGCAGGGCCTGCTGCAAAGGTGGGGTCATATTTGCAAAAAATTCGTTTTGTTTCAAGCATACCGACGCTGGACGTTGCGAACGTAGGGACAGACGTTAGAGCTGGCAGATCTTCACACCACCCACGCGTACAGCAGAACTCGAACAGTACGAAGCCTTTCCCAACCAAGGGTAAGCTTGCGGCAATGCCCGACGCTCACTTGTTGGAGAAGACGACCAGCTGCGGAAGAATAAACTGCTCGAACTCCTGCACAGCCAGGATCTGGCCGCGGGTCTGCACGGCGTTCGGACGCTTCAGGCGCACGTAGCGGATAGCGTCGTTGGCCTTCACTCTGAGCGAGTAGACGAGGTAGCAGGCGATGATGACACCCGTGCGACCGAGGCCTGCGGGTAGCGCTTTCGGAGTGACTCGGCGGCAACTCAGGGGTTAAAATTGCTGATCATTCAGGTAGAATGGCCCACCGTAGATTTTGTAAGACTTCCCTTGGATCGAGGTGAGCGATACCTAATTTGATACTGAAGGTTCTGAATCCGTTTCAAAGCAGGGAAGCGCTCGTAGCAAGAGATCCGACAGAGCCTCTTAGCTGTTTATGCAGCTTTCCCTAATGTTCAAGGGAAGGCACGATGGGTGACGGTGACGCTGACGTCGCACGACATCAACATCAGAACTAAAAAGCGACCGCGACATTGGTAACGCGTCGATGAACAAGCCATCGTCGCATCAATCATAATAAACCAATGACGTCAGCATCATGACACCAATGACGTCACCAGCGCCGCGTGAATGTAGCGTGTCCCGTTAAGTATCACACTCAGCGGCACCGGTCGTCGACGCGGGGCCCCTGTGCCGCTGGTCCCGTCGGTGGTACCTTCTGGCGTCGCGCGACCGCCGGTAGGCGCACGGTTGGCGCCACCGACGGCCGCCGACGTCGCCGTTCGATTTATCGACGCCCGAGTCGGAAAAGCGGCCCGGACCCGACAAAGGGAAGTTTCAGCCAGCGCCAGAAAGGCGCCAGGGACGGGCGAGGGTCGGGGTAAACCGCGATGCAGCTTAGCCGACCTGTCTGGCAGAATACCTGTCTCAACTGGTCTCGCCAACCGAAGGCCAAGCATGCGTGGCTGAGTTGGAATTTCGTTTTAAGAGTGTATGAACTTTGCGCCCCATGCAGAGTTTTGGAGCGCTGCAGCCGCAGTTGTCAAGGAGAGCGTTCTTGATGGTACGTGGTTTGTTGTCAACCGAAGGCCAAGCATGCGTGGCTGAGTTGGAATTTCGTTTTAAGAGTGTATGAACTTTGCGCCCCATGCAGGGTTTTGGAGCGCTGCAGCCGCAGTTGTCAAGGAGAGCGTTCTTGATGGTGCATGGTTTGTTGCTATCGCCCAGGTCCGGCATGCATATGCTTTTTGGTGACTTCGTGTCTTAACATAGTTGCATACGCACGGTCGAAGATGCATGCCCATAAAAGATGCAAGACTTTGGTTCCACCGTTCCGTGTTGCTATTAAGTTTTCAGCGAAAATGCGCTGCCCACTGATCTAAACAAGCGCTGGATGCATTTGCTATTGTTTAGAATTTACCCTGACGTCAGAAGCGGGCAACGCATCATAACCAGTCATGTTAAAATATCATTTAGAGAGCCTCGGAGATGCGTAGCTTAAAGAACACACGAGGCTCAGATGCTTACCATGCATTGTCACATGAATTTAAAGCGCGGTAAAGATTACACCTTTCATGCAACACACCGATTTGTATATATGACATAAGGCCTCGCGTTAAGTACATTGTGTGCGGCTAAAAAGGACACTTAAAAGATCCACAACTTTGAATGTGACACATAAATAAAAAATGGTTGGCAAACCGCCCATCATCAATCAAATTACAAACTGAAGCGTAACCTTTAAAAGAAGCCTAGGGCTGCCCTAAGATGAAACTCCATGAATTTTAGTGACCACGTCATCAAATGCTAAAGGTAGTTGATGTTGACGGTACTAAAACAACTGCGGGATCTGCGGCTACAATCTTGTCAGCCGTTGTTTAGTCTAGTTTAGTCTAGTTTAGTCTGCCACCCAGAGTACCGCCATTGTTTAGTCTAGTTTAGTCTAGTTTAGTCTGCCACCCAGAGTGCCGCGGGATCTGCTGCTACAATCTTGTCACCCATTGTAAAGTGTCTATCACCAAGGCTACTGCGGGATCTGCGGATAAAATCTTGTGTAGCTGGTGACAGCTAAAAAGAAAAGGGAAAACACAGAGGATCTTTTGGTAACTCTCCTCTGTCTGCCTCGATTATGTAATTCAAAATAACAACGGCAAACAATGGCACAAGGCAACGTGTAATGCATGTGCGTGTTGATATGGGACGGTCGATG